ATATATATATATATATTTATTTTTTATTTTTTAATTTTAAGTATTTTAATATTTAAATAAGTGGCGTTATGGCCTATAGCGCCATTGTGTCGCTATAGGCTATAACGACCTCTTTTTTCGTTTTTTTTAAACTATTTACATATATTTTTTTAAAATTTTTTATTTTATATTAAAAATGTGGCGCTGTAGGCTATAGCGACTTCATTGAAGCCGTTTTGTGTCGTCATAGGCTGTAGCGACATTGTAAATATGGCTTTCATAGCTTATTTGGAGTTAAAAAAATTCGCGTGTCACTGGTGTCGCTATGGCCCATAGCGACATCGTTAAAAAATGCCCCAAAAGTGTACATAGTTTGAAAACAGCCCCATTTACGTAAATAGTTTGGGAAAGTTCCCTAAATTGGTCAATCAGCCTGTATAGAAACACACTTTGTAAATCATACTTTTGTATAAACTTCATTTTTTTGTAAAAAACTTAGTGTTCTGTACTAGTTGTATATTGTCTATAGGTGAGACGAACACAAAATTCTTGTAAACTTCATAACCATTGTTATAAGATTGAGTCCAAAAAGGCATTTATGAAACATAATACTTGGTTGAGGTTGGAGAGACTAATTGGTTAAAAAGGATACTTGGTTGTTAAGTTTGGAGGAGCTTGTTGTGAAAAGAATACTTAGGTAGTTGCTCAAAGAGGCAAGTCAAATAATACTTAGGGTTGAACCAAAAGTGGCTTGATGAAAGAATACTTATATCTTTGTTAAAAGATAGTAGAATTCAATCTGGTTAAATTAAGAATTGAGCATAATCTCGGTAGTTGAAACAAATCAGTATAAAAATACCTAGTATTTTGTCTAACTTCTCTCTACACCCATTTGACTAGCATTACTATTTCACTATGTAAAAAGTGCAAGTTTTTTATACACACTATTCAACCCCTTTTAATGTTTATCTTTTCTCCACCAAATTCTTATAATATTTCTTTTGACTTTTCAAAAAAAAAATATAAAGCAACTTTTTAATTAAAAATGTGGTTGCAACTACCGGTCACATTTTATTGAGGGAGCGGCTATGAATTCAAAATCTTTGCATTTAAGATAATTGGCTTACAAAGGATGTTAATAGTGTTAAGGCATTCACGTTTTTATCTTCTCAAAAACTTTTGTAATAAAATTTGTGATGGTGGGGTGATGGTTTGAGCTTAAAATTTAGAGCATCTAAAAGTTATTGCAAATTTGTTATTCACATATATAAATATTCTAATGGACTATATCTTCCTTATTAATTAATGATTTTGTTGGACAACAACGCTAAATGTATGAATTAACACGGAGAAAAAATCAACAAAAAAAGTTAGTCCATTATACAAGGAATCTAATGACTTAAATACCACAATGAACATCCTATTATACTCAATATCAAACTTATAACAACAATGTACATCACTAGGATAAAGATTAAAAAATGTATTTATATTAGATTCATATAAAGCATAAGAAATAAAATAAAAATTATCTAGCATCCAATAGAGAAATAGATACTTCATTAACTGAAGAAGAGATTTGCTTTGTAATAGACGATTCTACTTCACCAGGGACCAATCTTTCTATTAAGAAACCAGGCTCCTTTGGTTGAGCTAAATCTGTTTCATTGGTCAACATAACGATCACAGATGCCATGTTAGGTCTATCATTTGGATGATATTGTAGACATAAAAGACTAATTTGTATGCAACGTAAGGCTTCTGGTATAACATACGAGTCTCCCAAACAATCATCAATCAATTCTATTGGATTGCCTTCTTTCCATAATCTCCATGCCTGTGATAATTAAAAACATATTGTTATATATATTTCATTAAAAGAGTATATATGAAATTATTTTTGTTACTCACATGCCCAATAAGATTATAAGTATCTTTTGTGTATGTAAGCCCTCTATTTTTTTTTCCGCTTACAATCTCTAGTAATAATATTCCAAAGCTAAATACATCAGATTTTACGGAGAATAACCCATCAATGGCATATTCCGGAGCCATGTAACCACTGAAAATAACCACAAAAATGTTAATTTGAAGTTCATTTTTTTCATAATAACTTTGATGAAGTAAAGTATACTTACTATGTCCCAACTACTTTACTTGTATTTCCTTCGATTTGATCATCTCCACAAAGTCTTGCCAAGCCAAAATCAGAAATTTTTGGATTCATATCATTGTCTAACAAAATGTTACTTGCTTTGAGATCTCTATGTATGATCCTCAATCTTGAATCTTGATGTAGATAAAGAAGTCCACGAGCAATTGCACATATAATGTGGAAGCGCTTAGACCAATCCAAAAGTTTACTTTGAGTTGAATCTGTTAACGATATTCATTTTATTGATTAGTATTTTTTCCAAAATAAAATATAAAGAAAATCAAACTTTTACTATATAATTAAAAAACAAAAACTTTTGTAGAGATACCCACCAAAAATAAATGAGTCAAGACTTTTGTTGGGCATGTATTCATACAATAACATTTTCTCCTCCTCTTGAACGCAACAACCAAGGACCTTAACAAGATTTCGATGTTGAAGTTTGGCACACAATATAACTTCATTCTTAAATTCTGTCATCCCTTGTCTAGAACTCTTTGAAAGCCTTTTGATGGCAATCTCTCGTCCATCTAGTAGCATACCCTAAATTTTATAGCCAAGATAATTTATTAAATAATAAAGTTTATGCATTAGCTTAATTTGTTAGTTTAATTTGTCTTACTAACACAATCATTTCATGTATATACCTTATATACAGGTCCAAAACCACCTTCTCCAAGCTTGTTGTCCATTGAGAAACCATTGGTAGCATTAAATATTGTAGTAAAATCAAAGAAAGGAAGCTCAAAATCTTGATTTTCATCTTCATCTTTCTTTTCGGTTGGTATGATATTCTCTGTTTCATCTTCCATTCCTATATATGTATACAAAAAAGATAAATATCATTAACATATAGAGAAATCAAAACTTTGATTTAAAGAATTATATTCATAAAGTCAGTCCATATTAATTTTTCAACAAGCTAGTTTCATAAAAAAAAAATTAAATTAAAAAAATATAAATAAATGAGGTAAAATTAATAAAAATTCTCTCATAACTTAAAATAAACTCATGAACATCCACTCATGAATAGCTAAAAAAGATAATTTCTAGAATTAACTTATGCACATCCATTTAAAAGAAACAACATTATACACTTAATTCCCTTCCATGACGCCAAATAATGATATTATAAAAATTAACTTGGCTCGAAAAGTTTAGCTTTACATTTGTGTTTCATGTGGCATGTAGCTAGGTTGTTCATGAAACAAATTTTAGGAAAATTGTAGCATTAAAAAAAAAACATGCATGTTTGGTTGAGAAACTTACCTTTATGCTTTCTTCTGCTTTTGTAAATACAAAGGAAGACAACAAATAGCATAATAGCGACAGATACAAGTGGGATGGTGATTACTAAAGCCTTCTTTTTTGTGTTTCCCTTTGAAGCTGCACTTGTCAAATTTCATACATTAGTAAAGTAGAAGGAAGTGAGTAGGGACACCCTCAACAAAAAAAATATAATTAAGAGCGAGTTTTTGAAACTACCCAAAAACATTTTCAGTAGAAACATAAAAAGGAATAAAGTTTTTCATAAGATAAAATTAGTTTATATATATAATTGATAAAATTAGTTTATATATATAATTGATTTGTAGAAATCTTCTCATGTTAACTTTTTTCAAAATTTTATTTATAACTTATACATAAATCAGTTTTAATTTAAAGAAAAAGTCCATTTTCATTTTCCTTTCTATGTTTTTTCTCTCTCTTAAAATAGTACTTAAAAAAAAGTATATTCAAATAAATCTTAAATAAAGTTAATTAGAACATAGAAGAAAAGAAGGCATATACTTGAATTACTTGTCTCTGGAACAGCCATTCGAATATATAGATCTTGTTGGCTTGCTTGAACCAATTTCAAATCAATAAGATTACCAAACCAAATGGAACAACCACTGCCACCTTCCCTTATGTCCAAGTTTGAATAAGCCATGCAAGAACAATTTTCCAAGCATTTGGCCTTACAATCCTCAAGTGTCATATTTTCATAGACCCAAGAGTTTCTAGTATCAGGCACTTTCATCGAAGCAAATCTACGAAAACCATCTTGATTCTCCACCCCACAACTCCAAGGTTCACTTCGCACACATCCTTCTGTCCAATCAAACGTGTTCCAATTCTGGTGAATTTTTGGTTGGAACCCTTCTAAACACTGGCAAATCGGTGTCTCATTCACCATACAATTTCCATTTGGGCCACAAGGGTTATAAGGATCACAATCATCTCTAGGAACAGACTCGTAAACCCTCCAAGTTTTGTTCTCTGGAATCCACGTGATGCGTTCGCGATGAGAAAGGGTTTGGTTCAAGTAAGTTATTGATATCACGGACTTGTTCCTAAGGGTGTAAGAGTAATAGACCTCGTTTGAATCATTGACAAATTTGATGTCAACAATTGGAGTGAGTCTCAACACAGGCTGGCCACTAAACCCAGGCCCATTCCAAGGCCCACTTCTGTGGTACTCTATTGAACCTTTCCACAGTACCAATTCAGGGTTGCTACTAAGGAGCATACCCCAAGTGAAGTTTCCTGAAGAAGGGTCATCCCAACTCTTCCATGCAGTTAGTTTCCGGTTATTACCTGTTTTCAAGTCCCATCCTAGCTTCATTCCTGGCAAGAGTGTGTCACAAGGGTGATCAAAGCTTTGCCACAAAAAACTTTCTTCTTCTTCTTCTTTGTTGTTGTTGTTGTTGTTTCCTTCTTTAAGTACCAAGTTTCCATTGTCCAAGAGTTGAACCATGGGACTCAACAAAGGCTGAGAGGTGAAAAATGTGATGTTTGTTGACCAAAGAGTTTGGTTGTTGCTGTTGTTGAGAAGTACGAGGTTTCCCTCTTTGGTTATGGTTAGCATGGTGTTGTTGTTGTCTTTGACAGGGTTGTCACGGTTGGCAACCCAAACAATGGTTTTAACGGAGATGATTTTGTACCAAACTCCTATGTAGCGGTTTGTGGAACTACCGGGGCTGAAGAACCCTAACTCGAAGGTTCCATCGTTGGAAACCAAGGTGGTGCCATCATCGTGAAGTGGCTGTGACTGGGTGATGCTATCAGTTGTTGCTGTAGAAAGTTGAGAGAACAACATTAGTAGGTTGGAAATAGTGATAGCAAGCATGAAAGGATGAGTGCCCATTTTGTGTTAATTGCTACTGCATGCATATAATATAACCACACAATATATATGTAGGTAATGTAAATGAATCAGAACAAAGTTATCAAAAATTAAGTTAAAAAAATATTTTGTTTGCATGCTTTAATTAAGAATTGAGGTTCGATTCTTAGTTTCAACATAGAATCATAATTAAATATATCATTTTGTTCCAACAATAATTAATTTGATAGAAAATATCATAGTTGATTTTAGGCGTCATTCAAAGATGCATTGACATCGAATTGATGACTAAGAGAAGCCCAAAAATTAATAAATTATATAGTTATGAGATGATTTTTTTTTAAAAAATAAAATAAAATTCTCATATATATATATATATATATATATATATATAAAAGTCTATATTTATTGTTTCACAGCAGTTCCTCATTAAAAATAAGAAATTGTAAAGGAATTATATGTTTTTGGTCTTGATAAGTCTCTTTCAATAGCGGTCCACGTACAACACATTTCTAGTTATTTATTTGTCAGTTAAGACTTAAGAACAAATTTCAAGTCATCTTTGTTGATATGTTGATATTCAATTGGTCTGTTGTTTTATAATTACCTTTGAATTGTGGTGCATTCGTTTTCACTTTGCTGTCCAAATTAATTCCTTTACAGGGACATGTACTATTAGTCAATTTAACATGTAGTTTATTATGATTTTATATAAGAAAAATTTGAATGCAAGTATTTATGTATTTTTATATTATTCTCCGGGCTAAAAGTATAGACTTAAATGTAGTTTTGGTATTAAATTTGTAGTTTTTTGATTTCTCAATTTTTAATTGTATAATATCTTAGTCTCTCAACTTTATAAACTCAAGTATTTTAGTTTCTTCATTTAATGTTCACTTGATTGCTAAAAAGCTTAAATATGTTTTTAGTCACTTAAATTTAAGATAAATTTATTTTTACTTCCTTAAATATAAAACTGTTATTTTTAGTCTCTATAATTTTAAAAAAAATCTTATTTTAATCTCTTAAATCACCAATAACATATTTGAAAGTAAAAAATTAAGGCGGTTATACAATATCAACTAGATTTAATGTAATATTTTTACTAATAAATATATCAATAAGTAGATTTTATGCAATAATATTTAATAAATTTTTTAACAAAATTTAAATATAAAGACTAAAACAAGATTTTTTAAAATTACAGGAACTAAAAATAATAATTTTAAATTTGAGAGATCAAAATCAAATTTGTTTTAAATTTGAGAGACTAAAAATATATTTAAGTTTTGCTAAAATTATAACGTTAGACGTAACTTAATATTAGATATATAACAAGATGATTAACATTTAATAATATTTAGATTAATTTATATTTTTAGTTATCATTTTTTTCATCTTATTTTATAATTTTATAAGATTAAAATGAGAATTAAAGGTGTAATTTAATTTAAATATTAATTATGGTATTATTTATTGATGTCAAATCTTAATTAATGTAAATTCAAATAAAATATCAAAATTATGAATTTTATAAAATTAAAAAAATAATATTATAGAATTAAAAATAAAAGGACAAAACTATAATTTTTTAATATTATAAAGTGACTAAAATTACAATTTAACACTATAATCGTTATTTCCATATTGACTTGACTTGGTCACATAGGCACTTTCTTCAATTCTTATCCGAACATCGCGGCATCGCGATCTATACGGTATAACATGATTCGTTAATTATTTGTCTCAAAAAGAAAAATGAGACCAAAGTAACTTAATTTACTTATATTTAGTTTTGTAGATGAAAAGATGAGTAATACATTAATAATATTATAAAATAATTTTACAATATAATTTAATCACAAATGATTGTTCATGATAATTATTAAATTTTATAATAAAAAAATAAATAAGTTATTATTAGAATGATACCTAATTAATTGATAATGTATTTATTAAAGTCTTGGGTGTTGGTCGAGTTGAAATTTCATTACATTTGACATATTGTTATCTTATGATGTGGACATTTGCCGCGCTTTCATGTTTACTAAACATTTTCTTAAACAAATGATATGTCTCTCTCGTTTGGAATTCAGCATCAAACTAAAATACGGACTTCAATTAAGTTCCATTTTTAATTTACAAGTCTTTCTAGAATAAAAGTCACAATTTAATATCACAATTATATGAAATTAAAAAATAATTAGTTTAGTCATTTTCAATTACAAATTTTATATAATAACCTAAAAAACAAATAGAGTATCTACGGGTTTTTTTAATAAAGAGTTTGTAAATATTTTTAAAATTAGACCCATCATATTTTGATTCATGATTTGATAGTTTAATCGTAATTAAATTATAATCAAATTGATATTAATATAATATTAATAAAAAAATCAAATAAATATATTATCATAATTTTATAACATTAAAAAATCAAATTCTTAATATTTAATGTATATGTAAAATTCTAAACTAAATACAAGATAATATGTTATTTAAGTTTTAATTTTAATAAAATATATCAAATTAATATAATATAAATTATAAAAAATAAAGATATAAAAATTATTTTTTTAATAAGATTGATTCTACCGATTTTTATCAATTCATCACAAAATGATTTTTCGATTCAACCGACCTTGATAATGACCGAGTTGACCGGCCATCCGGTTTTTGCCAAACCATGGTCATTAGATTCATTGCACTAATTAATGGCACTAACATAAATTTGAAAAATTAAATTGCTATATTTTTCAAATCATCTGTTTATTAAAAATAACATAGTCCGAATTTTTTTTAATTTTTTTAATTAGTTATGTTTATTAACATTATAAAATAATTAAATATATAAATCTTATAATAATAATAATATATCATTTCATTTATATATTTTTTAAAATTATTATATACTAATGTTAAATTCATGAGTAAATTCTTAAGATATAAACCTTACATCTAATCAATAGAAATAAAAATTATTTTATTTTCATTTTCACCCCTTGCCGAGGAATAATGCTGACAGTTAAACAGAAGAATAAATGAAATTCTATATATGTGTCAGTGCCATGTTCTGAAGCATCTAATTGCATCAATTCATGCCCAAATATCACATAAATAAAACAAGCAACAATTAAATAAAAGGCAAATTCCACTGACAATTAAAGGGTATTAATGATGTATTTCAAACAATTAAAGGAATTAGAAGAAGAAAAAATTTAGAGTGAATTTCAACTTTATAATTACTGCATGGAAAAAATGCAACGACATGGTGTTATCTTGGATCTTCAATTCTTTAACACCCGATATTGTAGACAGTGTTATTTTCTATGACACTGCTCATGAAGTTTGAGAAGATCTTCAAAATCGTTTCTCTCAAAGTCATGCACCACGAATTTTTCAGATTGAGAGAGACATTGCTTGCTTGGCTCAAGATCAAATGACAGTCGCAGCCTATTACACGAAGTTAAAAAAATTATGGGATGAGTTAGGCTCCTATAGTAATGCAATCTGCACTTGTGGAGCAGATAATAAAAGGCACAAATTGATGCAGTTTCTTATGGGGTTGAACGACTCTTATAGTGCTATTCGTGGCCAACTCCTTTTAATGAATCCATTACCTGATGTTACACAAGCTTATTCTTCCATCATTCAAGAAGAAAAACAACGACATTTGGGCACCACACGTGACACAATAGAAGCTTCAGCCATGGTTGTTCAAAAAAATGAATCAACAGCCCTTGCTGTTCGACGCAAACAAGGCCCTTTTTCTCGTCCATCTAATCGGAAGCCGTTGCATTGTTCTCATTGTGACAGAGATCATCATACAAAAGAAACATGCTGGAAGTTACATGGTTATCCTCCTGAACACCCAAAGCATGGAGCAACCAAGAATACTTATTCTAATCACAATGGGAGTAGTCAACCTTCAACTAATAATGTCACAGCGACTCCAATGATGCAACAGCTGCAGTCTGCAATGACTGACAAAATAATATTCCTCTATAATTATTAAAATAATTATATGACCAAATACTATATAATAATAATAATAATAACCTTTTTGAAAACTGGGGTGTTACATAAGATTTTCTCTAATATGCGCCAATAACTTCGTCTTCATATATGGATAGAGGGACCTATTAACTACTTCTATTTGCCCATCAGTTTGTGGGTGATAAGTAGTAAAAAATAGAAGTTTAGTTCCTAGTTTTACCCAAAGTATTTTCCAAAAGTGACTAAGGAACTCAACATTCCTATATGAAACTATTATTTTAGGGATTTCATGCAACCTAACAACTTCTTTAAAGAAAAGTCTTGAGATATGCCTAGCATCGTCTACTTTGTAGCATGATATAAAGTGAGTCATTTACTACCACAAAGATATAATCATATCTCCTTTGGGTTCTTGAGAGACCAAGCACAAAATCCATACTAATGTCAATCTAGGGGATGTTAGCTATTGGAAAAGGTGTGTGAAGTCCATGAGGCATAACTTTATATTAGCTTGTAAACAAGCTATACATTTAGAGCAATACTTTTAGACATTTACTCTCATATGTGACCAATAAAATCTTTCTTTTATATAACTTAGAGTTTTATCAACTTGAAAATGACCCATGTGACCTCCTTCATGACTCTTTTTAATTAGAAGCTTTGTAATGGATCCTTTAAGTATGCACACTTTTCCCATTTTGAAAAGATAGAATCCACCAAAAGTTTTCTTAGGGAATTGAGCATAGGTGGGTTGGAAGTCTAGATATTGTTCATACAATTCCTTAATGTTATCAAATGCAAGAATTTGAGAACTAAAGGTAGTAAGTAATGTGTGTTGAGTATGTGGAGTTTGAAGGGTTTATTGGGCTTGACCCATTTGCTTTTTAAATTTTTTTTTTATAAATACTCATGTAATTGTAAACCTAATTATGAAATAGAAAATACCATCTAGTGAGGCAGTGGACGTAGGTTATTCATATCTCTTAGATCATATATACACAATTTTATATTAATCCAAGATGATTTGATACTTCATTCTTATAAAACAAAATTGACGTAATATATTCATTTCAAAATATACTAAAATATGAACATTTTGATTACCTTCAAGTTGTTGTTCAATTTTAACAAAATTTGATATACACATATAAGGAGATATCAACTTTCAATCTAACGGTTGAATTTACAAAATTCACATGTATAAAATTATTGAGCAGTGTAATACTTAGTAAAAGTTACACCGGTGTTATTATAACCCTCTCTCATATATGTATATATATATATGTGTGTGTTGTGTGAAGAGAGATTTATTTTCTCTAAGAGTAAGTTGTATTCAATAACTCATTTTCAACATTAAATTTCAACAATCGTTAAATTAAAAGTACTCAATGTATAAATTAAGTCTATAAATTTTTTAAAAATTTGAAAACTATATGATATTCAAATTGATAGATAATTATAAAAATATTTTATATGTTGATTTGAACTTATTCTTAGATTAAATGGTCACCATATATATATATATATATATATATATATATAGATGAATTCACTAACTCCAAATTAAATATACAAATTTTTAAAAATTTAAAAATTATATGATATTTTGTTATATGATTCAAATCAATGTATAAAATATTTTTATGATTATCCATTAATTTAAATTAATGAAATGAAATATCAAATAATTTTTAAAATTTTGTAAACTTTCATGAACTTTTAATTTAACGGTTGAATTCTTGAAATTTAATTTAATATGCACAATAAATTATTAAGTAAAGTAATAATTAATTTTGGAGTAATTTAATAATTACCTATCAAATTAAATGAATTAAATGAAGTATCACCTAATTTTTAAAATTTTTATAAACTAATATTTTAGTCTATATAATATAAATGCATGTTTATTAAAATTTATAATAAATTATATATAAATATTATCTTTAAATATATAGATTATATTTAAAATTATTATTCATAAATATTTTTAAACATATAAATTATATTTTAGATTAATCATAAAAAATTATTTTATTTATCTATAATTTATTTTAAAATAGTAATACTGAATTAATAAACAATTATAAAAAAATAAAATAAATCCTAAAAATACTCACACACAAATTAAAAATTTGTTTTTAACAATATAAGAAGGATTAATAAATCAATTACTTAACGCCTAACGGTAATTTCATGATTATCATCGTAATTAAAAAGTCAAATGACGATTCAATTCGATTTCTTCAGTTTTATCTCTCTTGACAAGCACGCTCATCTCACTCGGTTCACTCGTCACATCTAATCCAAACTGAACCCACCCACCTTCTCCTTCGTTCCGAAGGTTTCTCACTCCCCCCTTACTTGGATGAGCAGAAGACGAATGGTCTTGGTGTGATCTAAGATTGTTCCTGAGTACTATTCCTTAGAGCTCTTTATTTCTTCTCTTTTTTTCCCTTAACCCTTCAGAACGCAAATGAGGCAGATAGGGTTAACGCTACCTGACTCCTTTCTTAAAATTAATCCATTGGACTGGGTCAACCCAACCCATTTTCCTTCTCTTCTAACCCACTTCTCTTTTTCCTCAAAATAATTAAATAAAATAAATGCATGTATATTATAAAATATTTTTCCTTTATAATAATAATATATTTCTGACCCAAAATATAATAATATAATTTCAATAACAATATCATATAAAATCAACCTCCTCTTAAAACATATAAATATTTATTTAAAAACGCTAATAAAAATACTTATTTAATACATACAAAATAATTGTCTAAAATAATAATTATTTAAAACGTACAAAATAATATTCCTCTATAATTATTAAAATAATTATATGACCAAATACTATATAATAATAATAATAATAACCTTTTTGAAAACTGGGGTGTTACATAAGATTTTCTCTAATATGCGCCAATAACTTCGTCTTCATATATGGATAGAGGGACCTATTAACTACTTCTATTTGCCCATCAGTTTGTGGGTGATAAGTAGTAAAAAATAGAAGTTTAGTTCCTAGTTTTACCCAAAGTATTTTCCAAAAGTGACTAAGGAACTCAACATTCCTATATGAAACTATTATTTTAGGGATTTCATGCAACCTAACAACTTCTTTAAAGAAAAGTCTTGAGATATGCCTAGCATCGTCTACTTTGTAGCATGATATAAAGTGAGTCATTTACTACCACAAAGATATAATCATATCTCCTTTGGGTTCTTGAGAGACAAAGCACAAAATCCATACTAATGTCAGACCTCCAGTATCCCGAAAATCAACTACAGGTTATTGTGTTTTTTTGGGATCTTCTCTCATCTCTTGGTGAACAAAGAGGCAGAAGACGGTTTCTCTATCCTCAGCAGAAGCTGAATATAGAGCATTAGCTGGTACTTGTTGTGAGTTGACTTGGTTACGATCACTGTTGAAGGATTTACGGATATTGCATCCTAAACCGGCATTGCTGTATTGTGACAATAAAGCAGCCTTACACATTGCAGCCAACCCGGTATTTCATGAAAGAACTAGACACATAGAGATGGATTGCCACTTTATTCGTGATAAGATTCAAGATGGTTCAGTCACAACTAAATATGTACCTTCAGCTGAACAACTTGCGGATGTGTTCACCAAACCACTGGGAAAAGAAGCTTTCTCTACCATGAAGCGCAAGTTGGGAGTTCTTGATATTCACTCTCCAACTTGAGGGGGAGTGTTAGAAAATAAATCATATCCCGAGATTATTGAGAGAAAATATTACTAGAATTATCCATATTAGAATAGCTGATTTACAGGGATAGCTTTACATCATTATAGAAACAGAATAGCATAATTATAGGGATAAGATAACGTAATTATGGATACCCTCTCTTGTATATATTTCTGATATTTTCATTCAATAAACATAAGGCAGAATTCCTTTTATTTGTCTACTTTACACATATAGAAAGTAACCCTAGAAAAGAAAATGTGGATGTTCCAGAAAAGCATTGGGATGATATTGATTCATTTTCACTTTAATATAATGACAAATTGCAAACCTGTTTCATATGCACATATAGATGGAAGATCCAATATACAACTTTGGAGAAAAAAAAATCATCTATTCAAAATTTCTAATCATTCCAAATGCTCGTTTAGCAGAATCAAGGGTGTTGGAGAGGAGCATTGATATTGTAACCGGTCCCATGCCCCCAGGAACTGGGGTAATGGCTGATGCCACCTTAACTGCCTCTTCAAAGCAAACATCTCCTGAGACACAAAAGCCATGGCCACTGGGATCCTGCAAATTGTATTTAAGAGTTTGTTTATATACAAATTAAAAGTGTTTTTAAAAAGTTTCTCTACTGAAAATAAAAAGTATTTTCACGTTTAGAAACTCTCAGAAGTATTTTTAAGTTTGTATCCAAAGAGACTCTAAATGTATTGAGATAACAAGTTCTTAGCTGTTGAAAGGAGCAACCCCTTCTGTCTTACTTGCTAACATACACTTTCAGCTTCTTGTTTCCTTTTTCTTTTATTGTGTTTTGAAACTAAGTGCATATGAAATGAGGTTCCTCCTGGCACCAGTTGAGTGCCTCTTTATGTCTTTGTTTTCATAGAAAAGCTTCTATTTCTATGGGTAGGAGATACAAACACTAAAGTATCTTTTCAGTAATACTGTAACATTTTGTTTTACCTACATACATTCACTTTCTTTAAACTCAAGCATTGCCAAGCATGATAAGGGAGATGGGTATCTAACTATAAAGCTGCTAGGATACAACTTTAAAAGTTTTTTTTGAGAATTTTTCTACCGGAAAAAATACTTTATTTTATATAGAGATGTTCTAAAAAAAATTCTAAATTTGTATCCAAATAGGCCCTATAACAATCAACAACAGATATTAGAAGGGAACTAATATCAACGAAACACCAGTGTATACCACTTGTTATGAATCAATTTGGCAATGAATTTGAATCAAAGTATTGGTTTAGTTTAAAAGGTCAGTTAAATGTTCAATCGTTAAATCAAGTGAAGAAATATAGATTTTTATGTTAATGAAGCTATGGATGAGTAGTTTGAAATATTCTGCCACACATCATACTATGGCATCATAGCTTATCATGTTTATGCATGTCATGTATAATGCCTGTTAACCTAATGGGTTTCTTTAAATGCCCCTGATAATTTCTCTTTGAACACTTCATTTGGCAAAAATAACTTTGGGATGCTTCTTAAAACATTTTTAATTTTAACCTGATTCTGTTCCTTGGCTTTTCTCTTTTGCCTATAAATCCTATCACTTCATTCCACTATCATCCCAGAATCCAGAATCAACTTATTGTTCCAATGCACCAAAATAGCACTGCTGAAAGCTTAAACAAAGCAACAACTACCACATGCAATAAAGTGAGAACTAGTGCATCTTTGAGCACAACTTGCACAAGGACATATCTTATTTTCTAATTGTCATAAATTATGTTTTCTACCAAGTTTTTCAGACCATAAAAGCACCTAAATGTTAATTAATTTCTCTTTGTTTAGGATGATATAAAAATACAATCATACGTACTATAATAGTCAGCAGGGCCTTTGTTAATCAATTATCGGAATGTTATTCTAGATAGTTTTGAAAGAGACTGTCAATAAAAAGTTTTTAACTATCAACAGGGCTTGGTATCCAGTTTTCTTCACTACCGCCAGTAACAAAATCTTGACATAAAATCTATTTGGATACAAATTTAAAAGTGTTTTTGAGAGTTTCTCTACTGGAAAATACTCTTTATTTAAATTAGAAAAACTTTCATAAGTGCTTCTAATTTGGATCCAAATAAACTCATAAACATACTGAGAAACTGTGTTTTGTGAAATTAGTTCAATTTCAAACATGAGCACCATGATTCCAAAGAATATGGGGATTGCTATAGGAATCATCCTTCCTTTAACCTTTCAAAAAAGAATTGAAGTGAAAAGAGTAAATGATATTCTAATGAAATCTACCCATCCCATAAAAAAAATATCACAAACATGGGAACATCCTACCTCAAAAAATCTTAAAACTATGTCAGCAGTCTTCTTGCTTTCTAATTATTAGAGCACACAATAAAGTTCTGAAATTTTAAAAGGTGAACAACCATTTGGCAAAATGATTATAGGACCAACTTATAGATCCTGTGAAAAGATATTCACTTCTGCAGTTATAAAAATCCAACTTGAAACAATTTTGGAGGGTCTAGAATGGACATTTGGTATAGCATATGTTGGATAATTTCAATGGGGCTAGCTTTTAGTATCAGTGATTTGTTTTTCTACTATGTTGAATTTATACTATCTTTCTCTCAATAGCTAACGTACTAGTTTCTTGTCTAATTCCATATTATATCTTGTGCCTTTTAAACTTGAGAATTCATCTGTAAAAAGAATCCAAGTTCTTGAAATAACAAGATAAAAATTTCTTGCACCTCAGATTATAGCACACCTAAAATACTGAAGAAAGAAGTCATTACCTTAACTTGATTTGCTCCCATGTCAATCACCACAACTCCTTTCTTTAGCCAATTGCCACGAACTATGTTGGGAATTCCAACATCTGCTACCACAATATCTGCTTCACAAGTTATTTGTTCTGGGTTCTTGGTGTATGCATGTAACATGCTGACCGTTGCATGGTGCCTCTACTCAAAAGATGATAAATCAGCCACTTAGCAATTGAGACATTCCGCTCAGCAACAACATTTATGTTACCTGCAATAGAAAGGAAGTGGGTAACCCCGCAATTTTACTTCTTCCAATTATCACCGCTCTTTTCCCCTTGATTTCCACACCATGCTTAAGTAACAACTCAATGCAACCTTTGGGGGCACAAGGAACAAAGAATGGTTTTCTTCCTCTTATTACAAGATTTCCAATATTTGAGGGATGAAAGCCATCCACATCCTTTTCAGGACTCACAACATTGATAATTTTTTCCTCGTCCAAATGCTGCATCAAATGTTATAGAATAACTAAGGCATTACTATCACAATATCCACCTCACAGAACTAAATCACCAAACACTGCCAAAAATCTTATACCAAGAATTTCAGATTAAACCTTTTATAGCTCAACTGAAATGAATCCATGAGAACCATATTTATCTTACTCAATGAACTTAGATTCTAGATCAATTAAAATGTTCATAAGCATGTTCAATAATAAGCATTAATTATTAAGCAACCTCAAGGGGTTGGTCAAGTGAAGCAACACAAAGTCTCACATCAGACATGTTGCAGGTTCATTTTATTTTTCCTTCATATTTTTCTCTTCTAGAAGTGCTTTCGAAGAAATTTCTCCGAACAAACCCAAAATTTAAGTCCTCTATGAGCTCAGAAGACATTATACCCTTATCCTAAAACTTATATTATGAAAACAAGAATCATTAAGCAGTCAAAATGGTGAATAAATTACCTGAGGAAGAGGAAGTTGCAGAATAATGCCATGTACATCAGTTTTATCATTATAACTGGAAACAACATCAAGCAGTTCACTTTCGGTACACTTTTTTGGCAACTGGACAACCACTGTTTCAATGCCAACTTGATCACAAGCCTTCAACTTAACTTGAATAAAAGTGTGAGAGTCCCTCCTATCACCCACCAAAACCACAGCCAGTCTAGGAAACTTCCCAATGCCACTCTTCATCCTTCTTATCTCATCAGCTACTTTGAGCTTTATCTGTTTAGCAATTGATTTGCCATCAAGAATCACAGCATTGTGGCCATTTTCCCCTAAAACCATCACAAAACACAACAATAAAAAAGGAACAAAACAAAACCTATTAACTTAAAGGGCCAAAGTAGAGGCTCCAATGGATCATATGACTTAAATTTAACATCATAGAACTTACATTGGAGAGTTTCTGGGAAATGGCTAGGAAGGGATGTGTGGTCTCTAGCAACCCAAACATCAGGGAGGTTGGGGCCAAGAAAAGCGGAAGAAGATGGAGCAGAAAAAGAATGCAATGTTTTTCTAAGTGTTGTTCCATGCCATGCCACCACTCCAACAGTGCCTCTCATCATGGTTGTGTTGATTTGTGAATGTGAAAATGGAGATTGAAGACACTAACTCTATGAAGGTGGATTTTTGTGGGACAATTACAACCTTGTTTGATGAAACTTTTGTTTTGATAGTTTCACTTTGAAATCAAAACCCTGAAAACAGATAGTTCCGAATTTTGATATCAGATTTCTTTCACCGCATCCTCACCTGTTCAGTGTTTTGCCATGCCACCTAATTACAACAAAATGATTTTTGAATTTATTTATAGTATATAAATTTGAAAACTATCAAATGTAAAATTTTGTCAGGGATAAATTCTAGATTCTCCTCTACACTACTAAATTTAGAAAGTTTTTTTTTCTTCCTTATGTAGGATACTGATTATCACTTTACTTTTCACTTTTTCTAACTTTTTTAGTCAGTTTTCTTATATGTCGAACGCCAATTCGAATGGGAAGAATGTTTGTACAAGAAACTCGAATGTTCAAGTATATGATATAATTATAAATGTAAGTATGAATAGCATTTTTTACTTTGAGATGTATTACTATTTATACTAATCATTATGGATCTTGGGATTAATGGACCTAGTCTATCAAATTAGCAATTAGGTAATGTACCTTTTACTCTATATCATCTAGTAACCCTCTCATCTGCACAAGGTTATGTGATCATAATATCAATTAGGTGGATTTTACATACACACCCTTATTACCAAGGATAAAATGGGTGTTAGCACCTATGGCCAAGGTTGTTACCTGTGACCGAAGCTTGTACATATGGTTGAGGCATGTGCCCAAAGTCAAGGCATGTACATATAACCACGAGTTATGCATGTAGTCGAGGTCGAGGGTTACGCACATAATCGAGGCTAAGGATTATGCACATAGTCGAGGTCGAGGGTTGTCAAGTTTAACTTGAGAAGTATGGTCGAGGTGTTAGTACCTATGGTCGAGGTCGCTGCCTGTGGCCGAAGCTTACACATATGGTTGAGGCTTATGCCCAAAGTCGAGGCGTGTACATATAGTTATGGTTTATACATATAGTCAGGGGCGGAGTTAGCTTAATTTTTATAAGGAGGCCAAGTTATATGTAAATATATTTTTAAAATTAATAAATTTAAACTAGCTAATTGATAATAAAAAATTAAAATATAAATTAAATAGAAAAAAGTTTTTTAAAAAAGTAATTTATAAATAGAGAAAAGTTTAAAAAAAGCTTGACTAGTAACCATTACAAGTCTACAACTAAGACTCTAAGAGTAACACAAAGAAGCAGCAAAATAATTCATCAAAATAAATAAATGAATCTCTAAAGTGTAGAATTATTGAACTACGAAACTACTGAACTGCAAAACTATCGAATTGTTGAGCTACGGAACTGGCAAACTGTTGAATTGTCGATTCATGACTGACTGACTATCATGGACAATGGACTCGTGGTGGCCTGGTGGAAATGCCCGAATTTCAGAATGTAAGATTAAAAAATAAACGTAGTTACAACTTACGTGGATAAGCGACTGCAAAATGAAGGAGACGTGGTTAATTTCCTCACTTTTGCTTTCAAGGGGCTAGCACACTAGCGTTTGCTTACTTAGAGTAAAGTCTAGATGCAATGGACATAATCACAAATTGCAAAAGTATAATTGTTCGTCTGTTGCAATTCTAATTCAATGGAATTGGAAGAGTTTTTTTTTTTTTTTTTTATTTTAATATGTCTGGAAGCTTGTTTTCATAATTATAATTATATTAGCATCTTTTTTATTATTTCATTTTTATTTTAATTAACTTAAAATATAAGAAAATAAAATAATAAAATATATAAAAAAATTTATTCACATTTTTTTCTGGGGTAGCCATGGCCCTCGCATTATACCACAAGCATCCACCCCTGCATATAGTCTAGCTAATGATTATGCACATAGTTGAGCTCGAGGGTTACGCAAGTGTAACTTGAAGAGTATGGCCGAGGTGTTAGTACTTATGGCTAAGTTTGTTGGCTCTGGTCGAAGCTTACACATATGGTTGAGGTCTATGTCCAAAGCTGAGGCATATACATATAACAACTGGTTATGCATATAGTCGAGGTCGATGCTTGTCAACTGCAACTTCAAGAGTATGATCGAGGCTTATCGCTATCCTTGTCCTAAGTGCCAAGGGTGGCAATAACCAAAAATTGAGGCTTATGTCTATCCTATCTTAAGTGATTGGGGTGGCAGTAGTTGGAGGATGTGTTAACGCATCTTAGTTTACCTATTTATGATGGTCTTCAGTGACCCTGATGGTCTTTTAGTATACATGCCCCATAGCCTTGAGCATGGGAAGGTGAAAAGGGTTTTAAAGGTGAAGTCACCTAGAGTTGTGAAGTGTGTCGTAGTAGAAAAGGTGGTGACGTAGGGGTGCATTTGTTGATGGAATGGTTTGGCAATAGGGGGTTGTCACTTTGTTGTTTTATGGAGAGTTGCACCTTAGGAAGAAAATTGATTGCAACATTACATTTTGGGAAGTGAAGAGTTGCCTAACATCAACCATTAGATATCCCCAAATCCAATGATTAGGAGTGGATGTGTCATTTTGTTTACCTTTACCACCTTCCTATAAATAGGGGGTAAGGTAAATTTATTTTGTCGTTTCTTCCAATACTAAGGGTTAGAGATCTTGCATATTGTGATTGAAATCAAATTTTTGTTTTCTATTTTGTAATAGTTTGGTTTTCAAAGGGTTGATTCAAATGTCTAATAGGGCTAGCCATTCTTCGGTCAGGGTAGGATAAGGCATATTTATCATCTGCTTCGTCAACATTCAATAAGTCCTCATCATTGGTTTCATCAAGTAGTTTGACTACCACATTGGAGTAGAACTACGAGTTTACACAGTGTTGAGGGTGTTTTCTATATCATTAGGTTGGTTTCTACTATGGATATGGCAATAGATGAGATGGGGAGTAAGGGGAGTTGTGCGTTTGGCTCAGTGAATCATGGGGCTGAAGTGAAAAATAGTAAGTCGAAGAGAGAGTTTCCTCTAGTATCCACACCAAAGTACGATAATGTACATGGTGAGGTTGTTGCACATTACTCTCATTATACTAATAAAGAGGCCATTCATGCATTCCTGAAGTATGAAAAGTGCCACAATTTTGGTAATCAGGAGGGGCCATACCCTGTGTGTGCTAATACATGCTTGAAAAATGGGGGGTTGAGATCGGATTTTATGTTTTTGGAGAAGCTATTGGTCGAATGGATTTCTTTTATGTTTATAACTATTGGTTTTGGGGTCTAAAGGTGCAATTGACTTTCGACAACTTCCAAATGGGGGTTCTGCACATGTTGAATGGGGCACCAATCCAATTGCATCTGAAGAGTTGGGCTACTATGCAAGTGTTTTATACCTTATGGCTATGTCTTAACATACAATTGACACCTCTAGTGTTTTTTCTTATACTTATTATTCATGCATGAAGGCCAAGTGGGTGTCACTATCAAGAATTTCAAAGAGTTGCTTGTTGAGGGCATATACATCATCATATAAGAACTTTAAAGTCGGATATTTCAAGGTGTTGATATGGTTGAATGGTTAGAAGTACTTTGTGATGATAGAGACAAATAATTATTTCCTTTTTATTGGACCTAGACACAAAGCACTACAAAGCTTTTGATGCAACCTGTGTGTTGGTCGAAGAGAGATTAGTTGTAGATTTTTTGAATCAACTACATCGAGGGCTCTCTACTTGTAACCTTTTTGATTTACTTGAGTTTCCTCAAATTGAGCATGACTTGTTAGGTAAAATTTTCTTCCTATTTGTGGGGGTTAAGCATATAGCCATATTTATTTTGAATAAGTTTTTACAAGAATTATGGTGAGTAATGAGAGCTTTGAGTTGTATGCAACCAAATTGATTGTAGATCAAGAGAGAGGGGCCATGAAAGTTGGACTTGTTTTGTTGAAGAGTGTTGAATGATTGTCGAGGCTACCACCAACCAACCTAAAGTTTCCTTCGGCCGAATGTAAAGGAAAGAAGAGGAGTTCCCATCACCATAAGAGGATGAGTGGTGACAAGACCTAATCGGATCTAAGCAAAAAATACAAATAATGAACTTTACATGAGTATTCATTATCAACCTTGGTTGTTCTTGCTTTGGTTGTTGGGGTGAACTTTTTGGCCTCAAAGGTTGATTTTACTAAGCTCATGAAGTAAGAAACGTTGTTTGTTGGGGGTTGAGAGTATCTGGACCGCTTAGAGCCTGAGGTCAAGTGAAAGTACTTTTGTGAGTTATAGGCACAAGCGCTGGTGATAATTACCTAACACTTGGTGTTAGGGCTGAGCAATGAGTCCGAAGAGCTTTAGAGGAATCTAAATGATTCGAAGAAAGTATTGGTGGAAACCTTGGTCATAAATGTTGAATTGGATCAAGTGAAAGAAGTATGGGATTGAGTCAAATCCTTTGCATTGAGTTAATGACACTTTGACTACTCTAGATTTGCATAAAGTTGAGGGTCTAGGAAAAAAGAGGCTAAGGAAATGGCTTGTGCTTAAGGTGCATTTGTTTCTTACAAGTTTGATACTAAGGAAATTTTTTTGGATCAACATGATGCAAGTTTTCATCATGTCATTCGCCAAACAAGGTATTTTTGTGAGGTTTCAAAGGAATTTGAGTTTGATGTAACCAAAGATTTTTTTTTCCAAAGGAGCTTCATAAATTATGAGAATTTCCCATCGAGTAGGAAGCCTAATGTCAATCCTCCTTTGCACTCTGAAACTGATCCTAACCGAGATGCTGAGATTGCTTATGATGATGGGGATGTCCATGATGATGGCAACAAGGGTGGCGAGGTTCTAAGAGAGGAACCTTCTAAATGAGGCGAGGCTACTAGGGATGCCTAAACAATTTGTATGCATTTCTTTTGTTGAAGTTTTTGGATCACTTTCAAATATTTTATTAGGTTTTTAAGTTAGAACGACATTGCCTTACATGATTGAAGATGATATTTTGTTTTGAAATAATTGTCTATGCTAACAAAAGTCTCGTGAAAATGTTTTTGTTTAGTTGTTAAAGGATAAAATGCGTGGACCTTTAAAAATCATCAAAACACTAGCCTATAATTGCCTAATGCAAGTAATTTT